TTGTTGCCAACCGCCATAAAACTCGACAAGAAGAAGAAGAAGAAGACAGACAAGTACTCCGTACGTGAGCGGGGCGGAGCGCTGACGGAGTATGTGGAATCTGGGGGTAAAGGAGGACAAACACACGTCCGGCTGGGTGCAGCGCCGGACGCCGGACAGTGCAATGAAAATCCGGACTGTCCGCCCTAAAGCCGGACATCTGGCCACCCTATTATTGTTAGGTGAGCCCATACAAGCTCTAGGCCTAACTGAATCCAAAGGAGCATGCCATTTTGGAGCTGATTCTCCAGCAGCAGCATGGTGTAATTTAAGGGCGACTGGGTTGGACCATTCACAAGCTTGATGGAGAATCAATTCAACTGTATTGATTTATTGTTGTGCTGCAGCAGAAAACCTCTGAAGATGTGTAATAATTAGAGCACTTTCTAATTTTCTCAAACATCTGGAAATGACCACTCATTACCAGATATTTGTCATATCATATTGAGCGCATTAACGCTCGACCGTATCGAGAATGATGAGAGTTAATGTTTATATAAACTGAGATTTGACATAAATGATTATCCTCATTTTAGGGAAATATTCTTACACATGATACCGTGGGAAAACAGGAAGTGAAATTGTGTCTTGTAAGCTACTAATTGAATGATGAGGATATTTATTTTTTTAACTTAAGTAAAACATCCTTATTCCCACAATTAGCTCGCTAGGATTAGGTTGGAGACTGAAACAGTGCTCCCGATGCAGAGGCTGCAGTTTCCGTCTCGAGACTCGAGGATAACTAGTTCGGCAGACAACTGAACATCTGTGGCCATATGTGCAGCTAACTGAAACACATGTTGTGTCAGCGCAACCACACCACAAGTTAAGTTAGGAATTATAGCATGGCTTTCTAATAAAGATGGTAAATGCCTCAGCTCAGCTTAGTGATAAACTCCTAAAATGAAGCCATTGTTGTGACTCTAGGAACTGATAGCATGTGGATTTTATGTTTCCAACCAAACAATAGGCAAAACCTGTCCCCTTAACACCGTTATTTGTATAATGAGGAAGAAATGCATCAGAAATTTAAAAAGTACAAACGGACAAAACAGAGTTGAAACAATAAATTGGGTGAAAATATGCATTTATTAATTTCTGTATCTTTTCTGTAAAATAATTATATTGAAGTTGGTCTTGAATAAAGAAATGCTTAACTTGGTATGAGTGTTTTTTATACCTATCTCTCATGTAATCAATTATTGTTTAATCTTGAATGTTCAGTCAGTCTCATTGCAATTAATAAACTTTGGAGTGTTTTACACCTACCCATACAGGTTGGTGGATCTGGTTGCCAGTAGAACCTGTTATCCATCCGGACACATGTGATGGTGTCTTTCCCTTGTAGCTGATAGCCTGGGTCACACTGGAATGTCATGCTGTCACCAGGCTCCTTACTGTCTCCATATCGAGATCCATTTACAGGGATACCAGGGTCATTGCAGGATGTTGCTGTTGTGGCTGAATAGTTAAAAAAGGCAAAAATAAATAATCGTACATAGTATATTTTATAACATTTAATATTACCATTATTTACAGTGAGTTATTGAGTATGGCTCTTTTAATGATGGTATGCTAAATAATGTGTCGGGTTTGCCAATTTCTTACAGTTTTGAAAATTACTCTAGACAAGAAAGGACAATTTAGTTGAAAGATCAGTGCTAATATTAATTTAATTCTAAAACCTTTGCCTATTTGATGAGAGTAATGTGCTAGTAAGTCAACATGGGTGTAAATATAAGGAATCATTAACATAGTAACAGAATCACAGTGCTTTTATTACCATGTCAGAGAGAGTAAATATTTATTGTTTTAAATGTGGGGTTTATAGGGTTGGGCAATAGAGAATGTGAGATGAAAAGTAAATACCAATGGCATGTTGTAAAAATCCCAATGGAAAGGCCTCACAAAAATAGGGAATATATATATATGCCTTTCCATTGACTTCCGTTCATTTACAACCTATTTCTACAGTCTAGCCATGACCCCTACCCTAAACTTAACCATTACAGGTTAATACCTAAAGGCCTAACACACCGGTTGTGTAAGACTTTTAAAATCTTCGATCCAATTTTTTTCCACGTCACACTGAATGCGTATAGAGAGGCTCTAACTAGGCAGTGTGAGCAGGTCTGTGTTGATTTTATTTTCACTTCTGTCACTGTGTCACATAAGTTATAACAGTTTCCCACATTTGACTCTGACAGGTTATAAAAAGTTATTAAAAATAAATAGAAAAACACTGGAGCAGCTATAAAGAAAAGCCCCATCTAACGAGCCTCTGTAGCATCTCAAACCAGAACTGATGGAGCATGTTCATATGTATGTATTAAAAATATAAGAACTACCTCTAAAGAAAAGAAAAGCACAGCAATAAACACTGTGGGATGGTTTATGTGGTGACTGAGGCAGTGAGAGGTGATTCTCAGAGAGAGATCTGGGAAGTTTCTCAGTTTTTTTTTGTTTTTTTTCATAAAGAGGTGAGAGTGAAGGGCTTCACTTACCTGCACTGTCTGCCCCTCATTATTTTGTTATTTGTGAGACTCACTTTTTACTATATCCGTTTTCCATCCTGATGTTTTTTTTTTTATTTCAAAGAGATTGATAAACTGCACTTTCTGTCCCTCATTGCTTTTGCGGGGCTCAAAGAGGATCACTACTTTATCCGTTTTCTGTCCTGCTGAACACCTATCATGGACAAAGTATTTTTTAAATGTTTCATTGATTGTTTTTGCAGGAGTCTCTCCCACTAGCTATATACGTGATATGCGACTCCAAAACTGACTGTTTTCCCCTGCGACTAACAGTTTATATTTTGTATTTTCGCCCAAAACGGATGTGTTTTACTTTGTCTTTTCCTTTGTGATGATCCTCATCGACTCTCAAAGGGCGCTAAATGCCCCTCTGTTGGATCAAATGCAAAATTGGATTCTGTGTGTTCAGGGCTTAAACCTAACCCCAACCTAAGCTCAATTTACACCTTAGCCCTAAATGTGACCCCTGGCTTTAAAACAACAATTCCCTTCATAGGGTCCAGGCATCGGGCCACACAAAAAGCATTCAGTCCCCACAATGCACTATTCTTCCAGAAAATGGGTCTCACAATGTATCAAGAACACACACACATACTCACACACACACAACCTAATCCTTCAAGTTCTTGCTTTAGGAAGCATATTCTGCTTTTAGGAGGATTGGCTATATCCCAAATTAAACCATAGATCTCTAAGGGCTCCCCTCAGCCACCTCATTGATGTGTGTTGGTCTCTAGGTGATACATAGAAATATAAATTTGTTCTCTAGCTGGATGTTTTCTAGAAATACTAGTATATATTGTGTTAATGCTATGCAGTATTAACTATTTTATTGGTATGATAGATTGGGTTTATAACATAACCTCAAACTGCCTGGGTTTGCTAATTTGCTAATTAAATTGCTAAGTCAGTAGCTGGCTTTCCTTTTTATGGGGTTATGAATTATAAAGCGAAGCAGATGGCATAAGTCAGGATTTGATGTGATGATCATGATACATTTTAAGTTTAATATAAGGAAATATTTTGCATTTAATACTTAGTTTTACGAGTTTAAGTTAAAATCAAGCTGCTTACTAGAGAACTGTATAGAAAATCCTTGCTTGCTGATAAAATAATCAGCATCAAACTGCAGAGTGAGGATGTTGAAAGTCGAGTGGATGTCTTCAGGTAATGCAGGGCCAGACCATTCTTTCAACAGAATCCCACCATCTGAAGGCCCCGATGGGCCGTCCCAGACTCTCAGAATGTCATGGCCAACCTCAGTGTCAAAGACAATGAAGTGAAGGCTGAAAAAAAGAACACAGTCCAACAAAACTCAATTAACAAATTAATTAACAACACCAGAAGACAACATGTGTCAGGAGGTGCCATAATCTGCCGAAAAGCATAGTTGGGGCATAATGAAAAGAGGATCGTATTCAAACACACCAGTAGTTTTGACGGTTCGCATTTCTTTCTTAGAACATAACATTTGTTTACAATCTTGTTAGCTTTAATCTTCTAAGTCAACTACTATTAACTCCATTAGAGTAGCTGCTTTATACCTGATAGTCTTGCCTGTGTCAGCCTCTATTGTCCAGGTACAGTGGAGGTTATTGTCATATGGAGCAGGGTATCCAGGGGAGAGAATCCGTCCAGACACGGCCCCACTTATGTGACCTCCACACTCCGCTACAAACACAGTACACATAGAAATTCATTCTACGTTTTATATATATTTAAAGTATAGCAAATAGAAACACTTTGCCAACAGAAAAACAAAAGTATTTTACAAAGATAAATGTTCTAATTGCAAAATATAAATATAAAAATTTGTTTTATACTTACAAACATTACCTGTAAACATTACTTCTAAACATCAAAACCAATTTTTATTGTTATAAGAGTTATAAATACAGCCCATCATATGCCAGCAACTCATTTAGCCATGTATTTCGGAATTAGGAAACTGTGAAGGGAGCTTCTGAAGTTGAAAAGGCAGCATCAAAATGGTGACAAACGGGGATTTAATTTATTTTGAATATGACATGGTTAGAAATGGCAGATGAGTTGGTCTAAGCATTTTCAAAAACTGCTGAGCTACTGGGATTCTACTGCACAACTAAGAGAATATTGGGATTGTTCCAAAATAGGAAAATATATACTAATTGGCAGTGAAGTGGAAAAAAATCATTTTAGATGTCAAAGTTTAGAGGAAAATTGAACTGGTATAAAATGACAGAATGACAGCAGTGACTCAAGTAATCAATTGTGACAGCAAAGGAATCAAGGATGTTTTTTTCCTGACATAAAATGCATGGACCCTTTAAACATATGCAGTACAGTCATAAAGGAAAAAATAGTTTAAATTTTGATTTAAACAGCTTAGAATTAGAAGCCAAGGCCAAAATCTGAACTATCTCAGAAAGATTAGAAACTCTAGATAACTAAAATGCTGCATAGTTAAAGTAAACTTTGTCTAAGTTGTCATTCAGTGCAAACCATGTACAAGTATGGGTCTATACTGCCCCATCTTAACAGTTCTGGCTGATAGTGATGTCATTTTGTGGAAGATTTTCTGTGCACACTTTATTCCCTTAGCACCAATAGAACATCATTCAAACTTTACACCCTACCTGACAATGTTGTTGGTCATGTTCACCCCTTGTTATCCCTTTGTTGCCCATATTTTTTCTTGTTTTATGGTGCTGTCTTTCATTCAGATAAAGCACCATGTTAGAGAGCTCAAACAGTTTCCAACGTATTTTTTGAGCATGTTAGTGTCTTCAGTGTAATCAACCTTTTGTAGTCACCAGATTCCACATCTAATACTGTAAGTAGCTTTCACATATGGTGGGACAGGAGGTCCATAACAAGGCTGTGCAGCCATCAAGAATACAGCAACCTTTAAAAAGTCAATATTAGCCCAAATCTGTAAAGAATATAACAACTTATTGAATTTGTGCCACAAAAACTAAGGTTGATCTGAAAGCAAAACAGGCACCCACCTTTTACTAGAAAAGTGGCCAGTGAGTGTATAGTATTTTTTGTTAGTTGTGTTTCTGAGTTTAGCTTTCAATTAATAGAGGGTCTAAAACTAAATGTATGAACTTTTAATATGTTAGAACCCAATTACCATATTGCTTCATTTCTAAAGCTTGAAATAAACTCTGCAAGAGCTAAGAACAAAGTTGTTTCCCTTTGAATACGTGTTTTTGTGAGAAGCTCAGTTGCAGAACCCAATAAATGTCCGGGCACAGAAGCTTATGTCACATCTGCAAAATAAAACAAAACAGCAGCACAGCAACATAGTTGGCATTTTAAAACTGATGAGTAGGAAGACAGTAAAATGGCTTATATTACTTAGAAGAAATGTATTTTGTTTATATATCTTCTCATCGTCTCTGCCAGCTGATCCTCAAACTATCCGGAGTTTGGCACCTGTAATAAAAGGGTGATTTCTGACTTTAAAAACAAAAGGGGAAAAATAATTTCCCTTTCCTTACTTTGCAATCTGATCCATACCTGGACCAACTGCACAACTGTTCTCAGATGTCCTAGGAGAAAAATGTTATATCTAAATGTGTTCAATAATAGGCAGCAAGACCCCCCAAGAAAGGACTTACAGAACAAAATGATATAATTCACTTCAGGATTGAGAACAAATGTATTTTCTCAAGATATATGTAGAACACTTAAAAGCGGCTGCTTACATTTTTGGTGCAAATAATATTAAGATGTGTTGGGTTTCATGGAAACCAAATCTAAAAAAAACACCTCTCATTAAATCTACCTTGTTTTTTGTCTTTGAAGGTTAAGGGAAACATTTGATAGCTGTTATTCCGTAACAGTTATTCTATATGGCTTACATGTCTGGGGAAAATGCTACTTTACCACTAAAGAGGCATGAGTCTTATCTTATTCTGTGCTTATATTTAGTCTAAGGGGAAAGCTGGGTTACTAAGAAGCAGAAAGGAAAGCTACAGGCAAATACAGAAACATTGTTGTGGTATACAGTACCCATGGCGGCTCACTGATCCAGGATATCCCTGGTGATAAGAGAAGTATTTTGTACAGAGCAGGTTTTGTGTATTTGTGTTGTGTGTATTTCTGCTAGTTCTTCCATAATCACTGCCTGCATATTTGAGTCTACAGTAATTTCATATAGAAATACATTTAAATGTATAGAAAGCTCTGTTTATGGTCTGTCAGCACAACTCAAAGACACTACTGAGTAGAGCAATAGAACTACTATGAATAGCTGAAACTGAAGCTCACCTGATATATAAAAGGGAACATGCAGACCCAGAGGACACTAGCAAGCAATGAACAATGACATTAGGTTAGCACAAAGCAGGATTGGCATATGGGTTAACCAATTGTGATGACTCTGTCAGGTGACTTATCAAGCTGCTGCAGGGATGGTTTAGACTTGCAGCAAGTAGTCATTGGGATTTTCATTGGGATTTTTTTCACAGACTTTATAATAAATATTTTTAAATCAGGTCCTCCTGTCCTTTTCCATCTTTCATCACAATCCCAGAGCCAGATCCTCACATAAATAGATGAGACGATTCCATCGGATCATTTGTATAGTGGCTTTGTTTGTTTATCTCTTGGCTTTTGTTATGCATTTCTGCTAATAAGCTGTGTGCTTGAAATAAGCACATAGGCTATGTTCACACTGCAGCCTGAAGTGACCCAAATCCGATTTTTTTGCCCATACGTGAAATGTATCTGATCTTTTCATGATACTCTGAACAACTCTAATTTATCCAATGGTCACTATTCTGCATCTTGCTATGCAGAAGCAGCAAGAAAAACAGCCATGGCGGACAATAATGTGGACAACAGTCTTTATGTTAAACCTCCTTGAAAATACCTCTACTTTGCATGTGGTACACTTAAGTTGTATGAATGCTGTTCACACAGAAGATCACATACAAGTCACATATATTTGGAAATGAGAATGACCATGCCAATTTTACATAAAAAACAATCTGAATTGAGCATTAAGGTCTGCAATCTGTACATAGCCATAGATCCTAATGCAGATCAGCTGCTTCTGTTTGAAATCATTTATGTGTTTCTGTCTTATCAGAATCAATCCAGTTATGTTTTTTTGTCTGTCTTTTCGTTGCTTTTTGGAGGCCTGAGACGGTATGAAGGAAGTGGATTATGCTCATAAAAATAGCAGTGAATGCCTTTAGAGGACCAGGATGCTAGTAGAACCCAATCTGCAGTTCAGAAGATGCTCTTCTCACCAGGAGACTGCAGCAAGCAGCTCTGAGGCTGCAAGTCTCTAACAGATATGGAAAGTTTATGTTGTGCTCCTCTCAGTTAAACTTTAAATATAACTTTAGCAAACTTCACAAACAGTTTTTTGAGAATCACCTTTAACTGGTCCCATCCAGTTGTAATCCATTCTGCAGTCTTGTGGTTATCTGTATTAAATTTAATTTTTTATATGTATTTAAATCCTTTAACTGTTCTGCAGATCTTTAAGAGCATCATAGTTGCATCAAGGTGGTTATGACGATTTTCAGCTGATTTGTTTTTTGACTGAGTGTTACTGCAACCAAGTGACAATAACCATAACTTTGTTTTTTTTTCACATTTAGGAGCAGCATCTGCTGAATATTTCTTTTGTTTATTGTTTTTTACTAACCAAGTCACATCTGGGATATTGTTTTAATTTGGGGGCAACAGAACAGAAATAAGAAATTATGGCCTTGTTCTGAGCAACATAACAGTTGATGGTTACAGATTAAGTAAGGAAGAATAAAAACAAATGGGCAAGAATCACTAACATAAGTGCAAAATTTCAGATGGATTCTGGTTAATTTTTACCAGTTCAGGCTTGATGAAATGCATCTGTAATGAATGATAAAGAAGTCACTTGTGTTTAAGACTCAAAGTTCTCTTAGGCAAAAGGTCCTTCTAGTTATTTTCTTCTGCCATTTTAAAGATGTTCTCCATAGAAAATAAAGTATTTTCTCCTGTTTTTGCTCTACCAGCAATCCATATAGTGATAGGGACATTGTTCAAATTGTAGGACTGATACAGAAGTGAAAAATGCAGCAAATTCCCACACACATCGGGACACCTGGCAATCAGTGTTTTACTTAAATGCCTCTCACTCACTAATACGAATTACTTGTAATGTCAGACTTTTCAAATTCCTTTGCAGCTGATCCTCAGCCTAAAATAAATCTTCATAAGAATATCCCAGTCCATTGTGTTGTTTTGGACGATAAGCTTCTGAATCAAGAAAGAAAACATAGATAATGATTTATATCAATAGTGGGATGTCTGCTATCTCAGAGAATATTCAGGCAATGACATATGCCAGACCTTGGAAAAATGCCTCATTCACTTTGGAGGTACTACTGATATTCAGAAGAGTAAATCCAAAATGTTAAAGGAGGAATTCATTGGTCTGCTTAATAAAGCTGAAGATCTTAATAGCAACGTGTTTCACAGTGGACCAGTCACACCTGTTCACTGCTGAAGATTTTTTGAGACTTCTCAAAATTCATAAGCAAATATCTCTGTCCACATCCAGCCCTCCTCCACTGGACTACATATTTGTACAACATGAAAGAGACAATTAAGATCGGACAAAATGTAACTCTTAAATCTTCGCTATAGTACCAAGGCCCTGCTCCATCAGTAAAATCTTCTTAAAGCCACATAGCACCACATCCACTAATTTCTGTAATACAGCCTGGGCTCCAGTGGTAACTCCATCAGAAAGGACAATTACCAGTAAATAACTAAGACCCCTACTTGGAGATAGTTGTGCAAAATGTGCATTACAGCAGGGAAAGCCGTTTCACACCAGGGGAAGGAAACACTAAACCTGGACGTAGCTGAAGTGAGAAAAACTCTGAGCAGAGTCAACCCAGAGAAGGCTCCAGGGCCTGATAACATACCTGGGCGGATGTACAAGGAGTGTGTGGATCAACTGGCTGGTGTCCTCAAAGACATTTTTAACATGGTGCTTTTGTAGAAGGTGGTGAGGATGGGTGGGGGCAGGTGGGCTCTCCTCATCCTCCCCAAGAAGTACATGCGTTTCTGTGCCCTTTTGACCAGTGAGGTGGTGTTTACATTCCAGGTGAGGGTGTATCTGATGTGCACCCCCAAGAAAACACTCCAATTTTCATTTTTAAAACACACAGCCAATCATTAAGCAACTTAACAATTCCAGGTTTTCTGTAATTGATGTTTCCCTATTTCACCACTTTTCTGTTACTTTCAAAAGCATAACTCTGATGAATCCATTGGCTAAAATGGCATAAGAAAACACTTCTTTAAGGATGGTGCTATTGACGCCTTTAACCAGATTTACTCTTCTACCTCCACTTTGCCTTGTAACTCTGAAGAGGAGCTTGTAGATAATATTTATTCAAATCAAATCTTAGAAATCATTGATTCTGTTGCTTCTATTAAAGTGAAGGTCATTATTGAGAAGAAAACCGCTCTGTGGAGAAACATGGAGAAGGTTCACCAGTCAGAAGTGAAAATAGTGTGGTGTCAAACGCTGAATGCAGTAGTAAAAGATTAGTAAAAGATTGGACTCTAGATTCACTATGGCATCTATAAAGAGATACTCTCCAGATTGAGCTTATAATGGAAAAAATCCAAAAAATTATTTCTCCTGAGATCATCAGCAGACACTTTATCAATGCTTACACCTTATTAGCCATGGTTGACAGGCTAACACCTGAACTCCACTTTGGCAGGGCCAGCATACATTTCCTATTATCTTAACTGAAAAAAGCAAGGGCAAGAGTACTTGACTATCAAGACAAATACCTAAGTCATATCAAATTAGAACCAAGTTTCCCAATGTCACCAAATAAACATTTGTCAGCTATTTTAACTTAGGGAATAAAAACAGCTACTATCAAACTGATGCTGAAAAAGAGTAACTTGGATAAGCTGCTTTTGCAAAACTAAAGGCCCAATTCAAAACTTTCCTTAATGACTACATAATTGAAAATTATTGTAATAGCTTTCTAACAATGCCAGCCACTTTTACGTCTCTCAGTCAGGCTTCTGTGCTCACCACAGTATAGAGACAAATTTTGTCAAGGGCTTAAATTATTAACCCTAACCCTAATGCAGGCTTTGTGTGCTTGTATTATCGGAACTTAGTGCAAAATTCAACGCTGTTGATCACTCCCATTCTATTAGAGAACCTAGAAAATTGGGTTGTGCTTTCTGGTACACCACTCAATTGGTTTAAATTCTTTTTGAGGGACAAGGCCTTTTTTATTAGAAGGTAAATTTACATCAGAGATGACAGATATCATATGTGGTATTCCTTAAGTGTCCATCTCTGGGCCCTCATCTTTGTTATCTACATGCTCCCCCTAACTTGGATTAAGAAAACAACAACATATGTTGCTATACAAATGACAAACCAGGTCACCAGGTCAGCCACTGGGTAAATGCATTGAAGAGATCAATGCATCAACACATTGATCATCAACACATTGATCATCAATGCCTCAACATTTTCTTCAGCAGAATTAAAGCAAAACTTAAGAAACTGTTTTTGGACAACAGGACATTTAAAATTTAGTGGACAGCTTCAGTTAATATAGCTAGAAACCACCAATCAGGCTCTAGGTGCACTGATAGCCTCAAAACTTAGCCTTCAGAGGCACATAAAGAAAGTAACAAAGTTGGCCTTCTCTCAACTTGAGAACATCTCTAGGACTAGCCTCTTAACAAGATCTGGAAAAACTAATTCATTCATCTATCTTTATTGATTCCTGCAGTGATGTGTTTATAGGCATGACTCGTGTAAGGAGAATATCAAATTAGCTATGTTCACAGACAAAAAAAGCTAGGTTTTAGTCACTTGTGTTATCAACAAAGGTAAGACTAACATTTTGTTTGACTACTGTAAGTGTGGGTGTTAGAAAGAGATGGAGGGGACAGAAAATGCCTATGGCAAGGCCATCTCATGCTCTCCATGCTAATATACCAATATGTGGGAGACAAAAAAAGACAGACTTAGATGGAGATAATCAGAGAGGTTATAAAATAGAAAAAAATGAGGATGTTCAAATGCAGTTTTTCCAGGGTCAAACTAGTAAGTGTAGTCTATGTTGATAAATTAGCTAAAGTAAGGCAAGGAAAGAGCAACCTAAATTACTGATAAACCGTCTCACAAACACAGTTTTAATCTCATCTGATATAAATGTGAAATCAATTGTTCTATAAACTCATTCATTAAATTATATATATATATATATATATATATATATATATATATATATATATATATA